ATCACGCTGGTTTGGCTTGTGATATGAGAGGTGATGTATTGAGTGCAATCATTAATATCACACCACATGCTCAAAGCATCATTAGAGCCACCACTGGTGGTGCCCTAACATATCCATAGACAGGATGGCAGCGCGACCTAGAGTTAGAGGCTTTTAGCATTAGCTGAGAATGATATATATGCATAGATGAACCAGCTATTAATCTTAATAGACTTCCTTCCCAATCAGATCCACTCCTAATATAGTTAGTAACTAAACAGGATAGCCTCTACAGCCTATACTAGGTGGCCAGCATAGTCATAATAGCAGAGTAGAGTACAGAAGGTAATTACCTCCTACTATCCTCCTATAAATATTTATAATAATACTAAGTATGGCTTTAAATTTAACTGACCTCAAGGTCGACATTATAAGATTCTTCTTTTAACATGTTACATGGTGGCTGTGGAGGTGCTATATAGGGTTAAGGATAGGCATGCCTAATACCATAACTTAGGACTTAAGGTTCCTGAGGATGCCCATTGACAGGTGACAGGGATATACTAGTACTACTATAACTAGATAATATAGCTAGGTTATCTGAGATAGTAAACTCACTATGTCACCTCTTAGGCTCTTATTCAAGGTCCAGGCTTTTAATTTATTTTAACCTTAGCTAGTCATGGACCTGTGGGCCACAAGGGTCAGAAGAGTCCACCAGAAAAGTCAATCTCTCCTTAGGCAAACATCTTCAATATACCCTAAGACAATTTGATGCAGGTCAAGGTCCAGATAATGATTTCAGGCCAACTGAAAAAGAGCTGCAAGGACCACGGTGTCGTCAGCTGGAGGATCAATCTATCTAAGGAATGCTGCAGCTATAATATAATCTTCATGCCCAATATGATTATACACATGCCTTCTCCAGGTTCACCTCTCAATGAATCAGGGTTCTTGATTGTCAGTAATGTTCACATATAACTGGGTATCATCTTCATTTAGGACTCGAAATGGCATTGTAAAACATGTGATTGAAGATGGTTGCAATAGAGAGTATCTAATATCGACCTTCACTGTACAGCTGGGTGCTTGCAGCCATGTTATACAAAAGCACTCAGCTGAAACTAAAAATATAGAAGACCAAAACTTATCACTAATGGAAAATAGTGCCTCTTCCCAGACATGACCCAAAAGCATTCAGAACACACCCAGCTAAGACATTTCTACGCGCGCGTGAGAAAAAATAAGCCACTCATCTCTAACAATATTGAAATGACTCTGAAGTCTATCCCACAGTATGGAACCCAGCACAGCGTCAAGTTTCATTTAAAGTAACTCCCATTCATCTTTGGTAAGATCACGGGCGTCAATCAATTGCGGGCAGGATATGAGATGGATCTCTTCAGGCTTATGCCAGAAGCAGGCTGAAAACACCATATAATGCTGACCATCTTTGATTGAAATGCCATAGAAGTGTCTGAAGAAAGATATCTCAAAGTTCTTCTCGGCTTCGATAACATCCCAAATTTATTGTGGTTGTTCGACTCGTTATTCGACTGGTTATTCGATGGGTTGTTTGGAATTTAATCAAACAATTAGCTGGGCTTTCTGGTACGTTGAAACAACTGCATTACTAGCCATGGGAGCTGGCTTTGGGGCTCTCCCTAATTTAGAAAAGTAGGCACTCCAAGCTTCAAGAAGGCTAATGCAGAACATGTTTACCCAGGTAAAGCTAACTTAGGAAGAAAAGATGGATTAGTCTGTATCAAATTGCGGTGTGCACTTGCAGAGAAGGCTGGAACTTATAGACAGACAAAGGTGTGACATTTAAAAGGCCTTGATGATATGATTGAATTACCTATTTTAGTAATGAGAGGTAAAGCGCAGAGCCAGACCCATGAACTCAAATGATTTTGAATTGCCTAAAAGCCATCAAGTATAGTCATTAGCCACAATATCATAATCGCACTGCGTCGCGCAGCCACTGGACAATTCAATTCCAGAATTGCTGGGGGACTGGATGCATCAATATGTTCTCCAGGAAGATTTTCCACAAATGTGACCTCTCAACACAGATTGGGATAGAGTGCTGGGCCGCCATGGTGCATTCAAATCATTCAAGTCTACTCCCGTAGATAGAATTAACAATGGAGAGGGCAAAAGCCTAGCCTCGCTATTGCTAGAGTTCATGCCAAGCTTCCTAGAATGTGCTAGTGGACTATCTGTCTATGGATCGTAAGGTGGGTACGGATACAGCCTGACCCACGCACAGAAGTCCAAGGTAACCTTGCATATTGGATGAGCAATGGAGCCCCACTATCCAGGAATGGTTGGCAGTTACAGGGGTAGCAGGTAAAACTCTAAAAAACCTGCTACCCCTGCAGCTGCCAACCATTCCTGGATTGCAGGGCTCAGCGCTAATTGGTATTACCATCACCTTTTGACTCCCTAAGTTGTGAGGCTGTTGGTTTCCTCTATTGCCAACACACTTCTGTGCACCATGGATACTAGACCCTCCTTGCTCTATCAGTTAGAGGCAGAAAACCGCTTTCTCTGTTACATTCCACAATGTTGGGCCCCATGGGTTCCAGCGGATATTATCAAAAGTTCCATAGACACCATTCCCCCAGTCCACAAACCTCTACAGACTCGACTTCTCCCATATCTGACATCAAAGCAACAATCTCAGCAACATCCTCAGCAGCATCTCGAGCGACTTCCTCAGCAGCAACAAGCAAGGTGGGTGATAAGTCTGTGCAAGTTCCTTCAGGGTATTACAGTCGCTGCAAAATGGCATCAAATTACTCCTGTCCCCTCTACAAAAGTTCTAGATGTCATCCTCATGAATGGCAACTTACAATATAATCTATCTGCCCAACCTGATGCATCCAACATTATTGAGCAGCATGCCTTGCTTACAATTATGGCTCAGCAGAACAGTCAACTGGGCGAACTTATCACTGCTTTTAGGACCCACTGTTTCAATGCTCTTTGCCATGTTGCCTGTGTCCTCGGTGCTGAAGTATCCAAGATCAATAAAGCTATGGAGAGGGTCTCTAGTGGCAAAAATGATAAGCATCTTGCAGGTATTCGCGCTGGTGTTCAATGGGCTGTTACACTTATTGACTGTCTTGATAGAGAATGCGGTTGGGATGGTAGAGGCAGTGATATTCTTCTTTATTATTAGTATAACTTTCTATTTTGATTTACCAACGCTGACCACTTCTAGTCAAGCCAGCACTAACCAGCTTAACAGAGTGGGCAAATCGAACACAGTCGACTAATATTATCCTAGACAAATTGAAGAAGGTGGAATATACTGAATTTCCTAATGGAGTACCACCGCCTTCCCTGATTGTCAGTTCCTTGCATCATAAACTGCTGGTATGGGAATACTACAAGGTCAGTCACCATGACAAGGTTTGGAGTTTTGACTAAATATAAATCAGCTTGCATGACATTTGCAACTCTTTCCCATGCAATTGTGAACAAACATTGGAAACGTTTTTGCAGTATCTAGACAGATATGGACATGATTCATTGAACACTACTGACATTGAGGACTTTCATGCTATGTTGCATCCTATTCCATGGTCACTACAGAATTATACTCGCAAATGACCCCAGCTGGAAGATAATACTGACCGCATGCCCACTCCTCCCACTCATATGTCTCTGGCCTGGGGAAGTGCACCAACAAATGAAGGCTCCTATCAGTCAGATGAATACAGCAGCGACCAGAGCATCACAAACTATCCTTGCTCCACAAACCCCCAAAGAAGCAGCCCCAATCTTGTTGGAGCTGACCCTGCAATACAGAAAACACTGTTTCATGGAATTAAATGTGACCCTGCCATAAGTCAATCCCTTTTCAGCAGGTTTGAGTCTGATCCTTCAATAGAAGGATCACTTTTTATCAAGCCTGATCCTGCACATGCTCAAGCATTATTCACTCAGGGATTGACTCTTATAGCTGATGTTACACTATTCTAAATGCTTATTTATAATATCTGTAGTTGCTACATCCCATAAAATGGATTATCACTTTCTTATTCTTTTTTTCATAATTCCCTGAAGCATGAACACTCCTCTATCTGCTTTAGGCCACCTAATGATGACATCTCTATCAATTACCAAAATCTCATTCAGTCTAACTTAGATTTCCTTCCCTCCTGCAATTGAGTGGGACTGATTGTGCGAACCATTAAAATATCTAAAGAATCTAGTATCTTTACTTAGCTCTTTATCTATTAGTTTAAAGAGAAGAACTTTGCCAGGTCCCACTCTCCATGGTGGAAGCTATATATTATTTATCACTGTAGACATAATTACTTCATCCTTCATCATATCTTTATAGGGTCCGCAATGGTGCTTAATAAATTCACTCTTAGTCAACTTACAGAAGTCAGAAGTCAGAAAAAAGAGTAGGGCTTGTATAGAGATGACTCACATCCACTCCATGATAGAAAAGTTTCCGACAATTAGGACCGAAGCCAGGTTTGATTAGAACACAACCTAGGCTTCCTGACTCCTTTTGTGACGATTCTAGAGTGTCTTGAAATTCTGCTTTGGCAGCTGCAACTTGATCAGGATCAGCAGGTGTGCAGGGAATGATGGTAAGACTGTCTTCCATCTTGCAATGAATACTTTCTGGAAAGAGTTGATGACTTCAACCTTTATTTTTGGTTCAGGATGGTGCTCCTTTTCCCTTGGGTGTAAGCCGCGTAACCTGGTAGACAAATAAGGGGTAGCAGGGGTGGGCGCAAGATGTCATCTTCTGCCACATGATCTAGGGTCATGTAGATTGCCTCTCACCCAAGCAAACAATGCAGTTGTCTACACCACCTTCAGCTAACGCCGGGGAGGTTGCATTGCAGTGACTGGCGAGGACCATGTCCGGACACTCCTTTGGCTCTAGTGGTCTTTGATATTTAGCAACAGCCGCGTTAGCAATGTACTGCACGTGCTTTGCTCAGTCCCCAGCCTTCTTCAAGGTGGTATAATTCTGAAGGAAACCCACCATGGCTCAAAAACATGCACAACAAAGTGTGAACACCGAAAAGGTCAGTATCTGCAAGCTAAACATGTTCATACCAACAGAAAAAAATAGGGTACGACATGTATAATATTATTTTCTCTTCTCTTCCCTGTACTTGCATTTCTTACATCTGGATTTCTCGTGTCTATTGTCTGTGACTCTATCTTTAGTCTGATACTACCGAGTCCAATAATTTACCGCTGACAAAAGATATTGTCAGTGACTGGGCTCCAGATGGATACCCATTCGGTGAGTGGCCATGGTTGGCGGGGTAAGCCAAAAAAAAGGTATAAAGAGGGGAGGTGAGTTACTTCTCATGTAGTTTGATGATAACCATCCCTTGAATATCCTCTTACCAGCTGCCAAATTCACACGGGTACGGGAAAGATCCTTTTTAGATGATTTTTCTAACATTTGAGATGTTTAGGCACATCCCGCCACTCCAAATCTATTCAACAAAATCAGACGAATCCCATCGGTCAAAGATTCATCGGATCAAAGCAAGGGGAAAGAGGCCATGGTTGGGATCAAGTCCGACGTCAAAACCCTTAAGCAACTCAGCTCCTCAGGTGCGGCTGCCAAGAAGAAGAGAGAGGATAATCAGGTAGATAGAGGAATGCGCGCTATAGAGGGAGCTGTCCAAGCTCGTCTCCAACAAGATCGGGATAACAATCAAAGTTCCTCCTAGGAAACTGCTGTCCTCAGGAGGAAGTCATGTTTGGTGGTTGGCCTCAGCCTCGAACTCCTGTTGAAGTTTTCTGTCGTACTCCTGCTTGTCAGAAAGTTTGTCGCTGGCGATGCGTCCCACATTCTTTCCCCAAAGAAAAGGCATAACCAAATTGAACTCTTCGATATAATCGCCGCAAAATAATGGTCGTATATGCTCCTTGAAAATCATGAACAAGCCGGATGGGCTGGAGAGAGCCAGAGTAAACCAAAAAGTGCCTGTTTCCCATGTTGTGTTCATGATATCGGATAGTAGTGGTAAGTTATTCTTTTTTGATCCTACCATTGCTTCCTCCTCAGCCTTTAGGGCGTCCATAAATTCTGTCCGCACTTTGTCGTACTCAGATGATACCAGTTCATCGACACCCTTGTTTGTGAGCCAGTGAAAAGGTCTAATCATCTCAATCGGTAGAGAGCAGGCCCACTCCAAATCCACTAGACAGGTTACATTCCAATCCTCATCAACAAAAATATTGCTTTGATGGATGTCTGTTAATGAGAAAACAAATGGCCCTCGCCGAAATTCTCTCTGGAAGAATGATTTGGATACTGTTCGCATCGCGGAGAGTGAGGATAGCTGAAATACACAGTCTCCAAGGTTATTTATTGCGTTTGGTTGATGCAGAAAACGGTTGTCGTGGAGCGTGAGCACATCCGCCACATAAGAGTCGACAGTTGAGTATGTATAGTCACGATGTATGCCTGTAGGTATTTCTTCATTCTCCAGCTGCTGAATTTCGATTGAAAGAGGTCGGTTTGCCAAAATCAAATACCCTTCATGATCAATGATAAATGAGCCGATCCTGGGGATTGGTGTTTGGGTGATGCTCAGAAGAATATGGGAAAGACTATGGAAAAGGTTTTTCCGTAGCTTGATGTTATGCTGATTATCTGTCCATGTGTTCGAAAGCATGCTTCCCCGGTTTGATTCAATGTATTCGAGGAGCAGATAGCTGGACTTGATGGCATTCTCGCCTTTGGCAGGATGGGGAACGTATCTGGATGGTGTTGGGTACCCAAGCCATGTGAAAGCCTGAAACCGTATTGCATAGAACCACCTGTGCAGGAGCGGCAAGTTTTTATAATAAGTGAACTGAGATGAATTAGCTAAGTATAATTGAATAGAGGATGAATCTTAATACAGTTTCGCTAGTTGAGAGAGCAAACCCGTACAACTCTGGGATTGGTACGTCCGGACAATTTTCTTGCAACCATGCATAGGTTCCCGCCTCGCATCTAACCTTCTCATCCCCGTTACCAGGCATGAAGTCCTCACCAATCCTGTATGGGAGCGGGAGTCGAAGAATCACTGTCTTTGCACTCCTGATGGTAACAGTAACAGGGATGCAAACGTTGAAGCTACCATGTAACCAATTCTCAACGTCTGACACATGACAGGCATCAGGCGAGTTTAGATTAAGGTGATGTGCGACAATGTTCTTGATCCAGCCCTGGTGATCGTTGAGATAAGAAAAGAATCTGGTCTGTTTATCATAGTAAGATAGTTGATGAAGAATGTTGACCTCCTCTTCCTTAGCGGATGTATAGGTGATTTCACCTCGAAGAAGCTGTCGTGTTCTGGGCATATAGGAAAGATAACAGAAAGTTTGCTACTTTGATGGAGTCCGTGGTCTTGCCCTTTTATGAAGATGCCCCCTGAAAATGTGTATCGCCGAGTTTGGAAGGATCGGCGCCTTTCCCACCAATCATGTATCCAAGCCAGACCTGATCGGTTGACGACCAGCGGCCAGCCACGGCGTCGGAGAGAAAACAGACTCCTCCGGGTTCGATATATCGATTGCCGCGCTACTCTGTCAACAGTACAGATCCCGCTGACTCGTCAGACGAGTCAAACAACAGGCAGCCCCATCTTCCTTCGCCAACCGAACATTTGGAACGGAGGAAACGACGTACATCGCATTCAAAGCAGGAGTACCCCGAGGTGAATCCAGACACCCAAACCGCGCGTACTATGCACAAAAATGCCTTCATGGCCTGGTTTGCGGATTGAGCCTTGATCTCAAATGTCCAAATGCACACTTGCACGAAGCGCGGTCAAATGATGGACGTCATCCCATTTCACTGCTGAAATTCGTCAAACTCGTCAGCCCAGCAGCTAAACTACGATCCAGACAACCGCTGTATACCTTTGTGGAAAGGGGGACTCCATGAATCTCTCCTCGCTATCACGCTTGAAGTATACGGCTATACATTTTCTGGCAAAGGCACCACATACAGCTCTCCCTTCGAGGGTGACGTATATCGGAAGTTAATGCACTTACAGGGGTCTGCTATTCCAATTTACCTTGGGGATATCTACTTGAAACGAAACGTGTATTGCCTTGATCCCAAGCGCATCATCGTCCATATGTCGCCACATTGCTCCCCAGATCCACGAGGCCGGTGTCGATCATCAGGACCAACGATTAGCAAACATGCTGTGGAATGCGGATGCGGAAGTCCAGCGAGTTATGTTCATTGATTTTGGTCGTGCGGTTATCAAGGAGAAAAGGAAAGTGTCGCCGCTAGATGCGTATCTACCTGGGCCAAAGAGGTTACGGCAGCGCCATACTCGCCGTGGCGTTCTCGTTTAAATCCGGAGTTCACCAAGGACCGATTTTGTCTCCACAGAATATAAGGGTGTATATCTTCAAGGTATGCTATCCACATGTCTTCGTGAACCTTCTAACTAGGACATCTATGGCTTTAAGGACACGCAGACATCTTGTGCGTCCAATTCATGTCAAGCTCGTCAAAAAATTGATGGCGATTTCATTTGATCCCACGATTCATTTGGTAAAAGGAATGGAACCAAGCGTCTGCGAAGCCACAAATGCTAGAGAGGATGGCCTCCCCTCCGTCAGGGGCTTTCTTTCTCTATTCAGAAGCCCCCAAAACACTCTGGATGCTATCTCCTCTAAGGAATATCTAATCTCCACTTCACTACCGAGCCTTGATAACACACTCACCAATGACTTGTCCATGAGGAACTCTATCTTCCAGAAGGTTAAGGGTGCAACTATATTGAGAGATAGTAAGCACTGGAAAGGCTCTAATACTAGGGCTAATCAGCATGTCTAGTCTGCGCCTGGATTGATAGGAGCTGACAGCATTGAAATAGAATTTGAATTAGTTTCTTGTTAACTACATGTTCAAATTCTATGCTGCCCGTAAAGAGGCGAATTTTGAATAGAAAGATATATGTAATCAAGCTGTGCCTAGTAGTCATAGAGACTGTTCTTAATCATGGAGCCAGGAGTGGGTATAGTACACCCATTTGCTCTGAGGGCTAATTGAACTAATTTTGAGCTAGGTAAGAATATAGACTTATAGATCACCCTGGTTTCTCCTACCCTTATTTAACCTATATATGAATAATATGACTCACATAAGTAGCATCTGATAATTTAGATCTCCTAGATATTTTACTATATAGAGCTTAATATCCTTTTATTTTAGTAAGTCATTGCTTCTCATGTATCCAGAGGACTTAAATAAATGTTCTAGAGTGCACAGATATTAAAGTCATTATCTTTTATAATATACTATGCTAGTGTTAACACCATACTATAGTAAATTATACTTTACTAATAGCTATAAGATGATAGGTACTAAAGAGAAGATTATTAATATTAATAGGTGGCTGAGTCTTTGCTCCTAAGTCAAGCTCATACTTATCAGTTAATATCTTGCATACAAGCTAGCAAAATCAGCTTGGTGACTTGGTCCTTGTCTTCTGAATGTTTACTTACCATGGTCATCTTATACCTCAGTCTGTATGGAAAGAGACTATCTATTTCTTAGCACCAGAAGATTCTCCAGTATCATGCAAAAACCAGAAATCCCAACTAATATTTAACATGGTGGTTTTCAAGATACCAGCGAAGGAAACCTTCAATCACTCTCAGAGTGATATTCTTTAGCCAATAAGCATAGTCTGGAGGTTGGAGCTTCAATGTAAACTTCTGGAAATTTTGTTTAACATGACGGACACGTCTCTTAGTAGTATCTGCGAGATCATCCTCAACCTTTGGCTCAGACTGCTGAACGAAGCTATTCCAATCAATATCTGCGGCCTTTGTTTTGCCCATTGGAACTGAATAAGTTTGTACACTGTGTGATCAAAATATTTAGAAAATAGCATCTTAAGCAGGAAGAGGAAGGCCCTTTTATCTTTTTTTCGCCTCCTTGTCCTTTCTGCTTTACACCTTGTACTCACTGCGTAGCCGCCAGGCTCATCTCAAGATGTTCACAGCACTAGGACAGACTAAGTAAGGTTGACCAATACTCGTAAAAGCGGCGATACACAGCGTGGAAAGGCCACAATTTCTAGCCTAAAGGCCATGCACAACTGTGTCCTTTCCATTGTCACCCAGACTTACTCCGTATTCATGCGGTGACGGCGAATTACTGCATCTTAGATTTGGATTTGGTGGCGTATCGGGTATCTGGGCTCAGCTTGTTCTCCCCGGACCCCGGCCTACTGATAAGCTCTGAGTCTTGGTATCTACAGACAGGCAAGGTGAGATAGGTGTATATACATAAGTGTTTTGACAGTCACGACAATTGTGCTGGATTGTAGAGGAAGAAGTGTTGTCCAGGGAATATATATTGAAGCAGCCCTCCCAACACACCCATCTCAATAACTTACCTATTCCTAATACGTCAACACCAGTCTTAATTCGATCACATTCAAAATGTCAATCGGCAGTGGCCCCCAGGCGTGGAAGACAGAGGACGTCAAGCGCGACAACTCATGGATCCTGCGCTTAACACCTGAGGAAATCGAGGGCTTCCGTATGGCCCTGGCCTACGCCAAAGCACACCCAAAAGAGCTTCTCGACATGACCCAAGCAGACTATCCACTGCCAGAGGCCTCCAAAAAAGCCCTTGAGCGCGCCATCGCCACCACACAAGGCTGCTGGGGCATGTGTCTGGTGAAAAGGGTTCCCAGTAGACGAATGGACTGAGGCCGACATGCGCGTTGCCTACTGGGGCATGGGCCTGTACATGGGCGCTTGCTGGACACAAAACCGCGCTAGCGAGGTTATTAACGATGTACGCGATGCAGGCGGCAGCTACAAGGTCAAGGGCGGCCGCAGCTACAACACGAACGCCGGGCTCGACTTCCACCAAGACTCCGCCGACGTTGTGGCCCTTCTGTGCCGTCACACGGCCAAATCCGGAGGCACGTCGAAGGTCATGAGCAGCATTGCACTTTACGATCACGTCACCGAGCTCCGCCCCGATCTCCTCCCCGTGCTTGAATCCAACACCTGGTTCCACAGCTACCAGAACACGCAAGACCCCACGCAACCACCCTACTACCGCTGCCCGCTGATGGGCAAGAGCGGTGGCTACTTCTGCGCTCACACCAACCGCAAGAACACCATTGCTGCACAGCAGGACTTCCCTGAGGTGCCGCGGCTGACGGCCCAGCAGGAGGAGGCGCTTGACCTGCTGGATGAGATCATGCCGAGTGACGAGTACTACTACTCGATGGAGTTGGAGCGCGGAGATATGCAGCTGTCGAACAGCTTCGTGACGTTGCATTCGCGCACGCTGTTTGAGGACTTTGACGTGCCGGATGAGAAGCGTCATCTCATGCGTTTGTGGCTTTCTATTCCGCCTTTGCGGGACCATGGTGATGGTTGGGTACGCGCTGGAGAAGAAAAGAAAGAGATGAATTGCGGTTGTGGTGGGCGGGCACACCTAGGCAGAGGGCCCATCACGGGTTAATAGGGCCTACTGCTTAGTGTGTGGATCATCTGTTGTTTGTTTTTCTTTCTTTATTTCCTTCTTTCTTTCTTCGTTTTCGGGATGCACAAGTTAGGTATCAAGGATCTTCTGGTACAGCACTGCAGCCCCTCGTCCAGGTTGGCCCTTCTAGAAGTAAACACTTGATTATGCATGGGAAGAATGATGAAACTCCTTCGTAGAGATTGACTCATACTTTACGTAGCTTGGTTGCGGTCACATCATAGTGTAATGAAGACATCACCTTCCTCCTGATGCTCCATTGTCAACCCCGTTCACTTCTCCCACTTACCTTCCCGAGGCTCTCTTCACAATATTATACCGCGGGCTTTCCTTCCTTGCTACATTCGTTCCATTTGGGCACGCGTTCTCAGAAGGCGACACCACACCATCGCAGCGACACCTTCCCAAGACGGTCTCAGCCTGCCTTCTTAGAGCTGTTCCAGCGTGCCTTCCCAAGGATTACCCATTCATTCGTACTTAAGTGTCGGTAAGTGCCCGCGAAGGCCAACTCTTTCAGAGTACCTAGTCTTTTCCCACCCGACCCGCGTCTTGCCTCAACCGAACTGCGTGTTTTCCACCATGCCTCTGAAGAAAAAATCGAAGAAGGCTGCTGACGTGAACATTTATACCGATGCCGATGCTAGGTCTACCGCTGTGCTCGCAACCAAGACTGACATAGCCTCAGAGTCTGACATGATTGCCGATGCGAAAAGGTCACTGGCTGAATGCCTTGATACCGACGAACTCCATTCGGAAGTCCTGTATGATAACATGTATACCGGCAATGACAAAGGTCTTGGAATAGTCAGGGAACACGCAAGAATACCTGCACTAGAGACCAAGCTCGAAGGGTTGCAGAAAGAGCTTTATGATGAGCGCAAGGAGAGAAGGGACCAATTCAGTGAACTCCATAATGCATTCAATCGGCTAGCGCAACAGACAGACGCAAGGTTCTCTGTTCGTTATGCTGATATCAGGAGCAGGTTTCTCTCTACATTCCGGAGAGGTTTCATGGACGATGAGTCGAGGGAAGATCAAAAGGTCATTGACCAGGGAAACGTCGCCGCTCACCACGGATTCTTTATGGCGGACGCTATGCTATATGATCCAGAGGGCTTTATAAATAAACATAGCCAGCAATTCCCACCACGCACTGATCTGGATACCTTCAAGCTTCTTTATGGTGTTGACCCTAGCCTTGCTAAGAAAATTGGTAAGCGTCACATTCTTCAGATCTTTATTAGTTTTGCTCAAAGGCTGATGCTACCTGTGTCCAGATTACACGCCGACAGTTCAGGTACTAGAGAGACATGCCATGGTCCGCGCTTCGTCTAGATTTCAAATGACCGCCCTGTTTGAGGAGAAATTTCAAGCATTCATACGCGCTTTGAAAGCCACAGACTACGCTGGTGATTACCTGAATTTCCAATCAGATCAGGTTGCAGAGCTTCTGTTCGCATACCAAGAGTTCTGGAAGGCTAGCAGACAGTGCCAGCCACTACGGTGATGTTAAAATATAATACCACTATGACTATGGATATGAGACCCTAGACTGATGAGGACCATGTCCGGACACCCTTTTGGCCTAGTGGTATTATAATTCAATAGGTGATCCCAGGAGGCTGCTTCCAGTCTTCCACACGCACTATTGGGCAGTCCTCCTGCGGAAAGGATAATGGGGACCAAATGACCATTCTTAGTGCTTGTATGCCTCACGCGTGAGGTATAGACGTTATAAGAAACACAATAGAAAGGAACACGAGGACATTATTGCTTTACGAATATATACATGATGACATCATCAGTAACTTTCGCAGCCGCGTCGCAGGCTTCATGTACTGTCCTGTGTCTCCCATGTTTGTTCTGTTGGGTAGCCGGTGTTTACAGAGAAAATGATGTGGTATTCGTGCTGGGACATTTAAAAGAACCGTCAATCACTTCGGGGTAATATTGCCCAGCAACAGCCGTAAATTGCATATCATCGGTGGTTCCGGCTTCAATGGGGCCCTTGAATATTTTGAGGCCCCACCACTATCAGAAAGATATTTTGGGTTCCGCGGCACAACCTAGATAACTGGTAGATCTATCTGATCCATATTTTAATAAGAAAGTGCTTGAGATGCTTCGCAACTATGCTATATGTGCGTATACAGGAAGGGAATATGTCATACTTCCAACCACTCAGCCAAAAAGGGCGTCCAGACAACCATCTCTAGCTAGTAGGGATAGTAGTAGTAGGGGCAACACAGCAGGGACACAACAGAATATCCAAGTGATGGGTCTTGGCGACGATCTACAGACCGAGTCTCGAGCTCTATCTATCCGGATGTTGGAGGTTATACAATACCGGATGAAAAGCCAACAAGATCGGAGCATTCCAAGAATTCCGAGGGAAAATCAGACGCAAGGACAATCAAACTCCTTGTCTTGCAACTACATGCGGATTCCGTCAGCATACAGTCGTCAAGGCGCCTTCATCCGCCCATCTCACTTTCCGATTCAGGGGTATGGCTGGTACAATGATGGACAATAATGCCCTTGGTTTGAAGGCTGGCCATGTGATTCATTCTTTGACCAATCAGGATGTTTGAATTGCTGGCTGACCGCCTTGTCGCATGTGTGATTACTCCAAGCGGGAAAACACCCGGCCCGGTGATGGTGGGGATTTTTGTATTTATCCATGGCTATACAGACTGACTCACCTAAGCAGAGTGCAGTATATAGGGACCGTGGTTTCCGTTGTCAAGTTTTTGAAGGCATATTCTTCCTGGACCATGGCAGAAATGAACGCGGCCGAAAGGTTCGCCCTCATCAAAGAGAACCTTCAAGAGATTCTCAACCCGGATATCATTGAGGGCATTCTCGCTGAGGGGCGCAACCCAAAGATCTACTGGGGTAATACACAACCTTTTTCATGTGACATCTGGACAATTGCTGATATCTTCTTTTTCAATTGACAGGAACGAGTCCCACTGGCAAACCTCACTGCGGATACTTTGGTACGACGTCGTTGCAATGCAATCGAAAGCCCACCGCTAACCCCGCATTTAGTGCCCGCCGTCAAAATCGCACAGTTTCTGGCTGCCGGTTGCGATGTGACGATCCTGATTGCTGATATCCATGGTTTCCTCGATAACCTGAAGGCGCCGATTGAGCTTGTCGAATACCGCGCGAAATACTATGAGTACACAATTAGAGCGATGCTCCAGGCTGTGGGCGTCTCGACGGAGAAATTGCGCTTCGTCCTCGGCAGCTCCTACCAGAAGAGCCCCGAATATGTGATGGATGTGTACAAGCTGTGCTCTCTGGTGTCGGAGCATGATGCGAAGAAGGCTGGTGCTGAAGTCGTCAAGCAATCCAACAACAGCCCTCTTAGTGGTCTTCTCTACCCTATCCTCCAGGTGCTGGATGAGCAGCACCTCGATTGCGATGTTCAGTTTGGAGGTGCGCTTCCTCGACTATTACAATCTACAAAGACTAATTTGAGTAGGAGTTGACCAGCGCAAATTGTTCGCGGCATCCACCGAGTGGCAGCCCAAGCTGGGTTACAGAAAGGTCAGCACAGCATCGTCGTATGGCTGATGATTATGCTCACATACTCCTAGCGCGGCCATCTGCTCAACCCCATGGTTCCTGGGCTTACTGGTGGAAAGATGAGCTCGAGTGAAGAAGGTACTGTCGATACTCCATACCTTTATGAGCAGCTTACTGATACTCGGTAGAGAGCAAGATTGATCTTCTCGAGGCCGCGGATACTGTCAGAAAGAAGATCCGCAAGGCCCAGGCTGCTCCCAAGGAGATTGAAAACAACGGTGTTCTATCTTTTGCAGAATTCGTCCTGCTTCCTGCTTCCGCCCTGAAGACTGGCCGCCCGGAATTCCGCGTCAGCCGTGAGAGAGACGGCCTGGAGCCTCTCGTCTACACCGACATCAAGCAGATGCAGGAAGATTACCAGAACGATATTGTATGTACAGGAAGAAACCTGCCGCGCAAAGGTCATCTGGACTGGTACTGACTTCTTTACAGTTGACACCGCAATTGCTCAAGCCCGCTGTGGCGGAGGCTCTCGTTGAGCTTATGGCCCCTATCATCACAGCTTTCGAGGCCTCGAAAGAATGGCAGGAGGTCACATTGAAAGCATACCCCCCTCCAGAAAAGAAGAAGAAGGAAAAGAAGCAAAAGGATAAAGGAAACCGCTACCCGGGGGCCAAGACTGCTGAGACAGCAGAGCTCCCACTCCGGGAAATTGGCGTTCAGGAACCTACAGCGGACTAGATTCGATAGAGTTAGATACCTGAATGACATGATGCACATTTCTACTCAGCTACTGCTCTGATCCAAAGATTTTCACCACCTTTCAGGTTGACGACTGCACTCATTTTATATATCATTGCTCCAGGAGGATATACCCTCATTACACGATATACGAAATAGCAGTATTTGGATTGGCATCCCATGCTATTGAGCGGTGCGCAAAGTTATTCAGCTGAAGCTGAAAGGATCTATGCTCAGTATTGATTAAGTCCTAAGACTAGGTAGTAGGTTCACATAGTCTCGATATCAAGGGTCTATTGTAAGGTCTATGGCGAAAGTCGTTGAATCTGCCATTTGAATGACGAATCATCATCTGACTCTCTCACTCTCACATATCGGAAGCGATCATGTAACCGACTGCGTCGGCCTTGCCAAAACTCCACCGACTCGGGTACCAGTCGCACACCACCCCAGAACGGTGGAAGAGGGATCTTGTCTACCCCCGCAAACCGCGCCTCCATCTCCTGGACCCGCTGCTCAAGCAGAGCCCTCCCGTCATCGATGTCCGTCTCGTCAATGTCGGCCGGGATCTGAGGGCATCCAGACGTGGGCGTCGAGCCCTGAACGTGCGCCGCGGCCGCAACGCTCTTCCGCCGCCGGTCAAGCAGTATCTCGGGCTTCGCCGACCAGAGCACCTTGCTCTGCCAGCTCGCCCACGCACCGATCTGACTGCCCCGTTCTCGAGTATCCCAATACAGCTCGCTCTCCTCGCGGCTGAGTGGCTCCACCATCCCCTCGATACGTACTTGGCGCTCCAGCGCCGACCAGCAGAAGGACAATGCAGCCCACCGATTGCCCCCCTGCACGTCTTGGAGCAGACTCTCGTCCTCGCCGGGCCGCGGCATCGCACCAGGGAAGTCACCGCCATCCGCATCCACACCAAACACCTGCCCGCCCTTGCCCTCTCGGCTGCCCCAGTTACTGTACACCACCCAGCCCCGCTCGTCCAGTTCCTTGAGGTAGACAACGCGCGCGCTGACCCGCCCAGAGGGCAGCGATGCCGTGGCCAATGTACATGTTTCCGGCGCCGAGGACGGCGACAGCCGCGGGTCGCGGAACCAGGTGTGGAATTGATGGAGCGGGTTGGACGGATGCATCTGGGAGACTGTCAGGGGCGGGTTGATAACGAACTGGTGTGCACGGGCCGGGTGGGCGACGATCTGGCTCTCGATCGTGGAGTCGGGGGTCGAGACATCTGAGCGAAGTTGCTCGGCGATATGCTCGGGGACATTTGGGGCGGGCGAGGAGGGGTCTTTGGTCTCGGTGGCTGAGACTTTGAGGTCGGGGGTTGCTTGGATGTCGCCGGGCGCGACTAGACGGGGGGTTAGGAACAGATCATTTTCATCTTTTGGAGGAGGAGAGGTGCAGAAAACGTACAGATCAGCTTCTTCGGCCGTCGGGAGTTCATTGCGTGCTCGTCAGCTGTTGGGTTCCCCGAACTCATCCTGCGAAAATACCACGTTTGGTCGTGGCTACCACGGCTCGTTGCCAGACGAATGCGACGAAGAGGGCACTGAGTGCGTAAGCATACACGACCAGTAAGCATAGACTGTGTACCTGCGTGAGCTTAGCGAAAGGTGATGGTCATTGAAGAATTGAAGCGGGGGGAGATTGCGAGTCATCGGCCATCATGCGGAGGTCGAGAACGGAAATCCACGGCCGGAAACTATTGGCCTTTTGGAGTACTCAACACCGCGTAATGATACGAGGAGCACCTTTTCCCGAGTCGCCTGATCAATGTCGACTGATCGATCAATTGCGATCCGATCATTGACTAAAGATTTTCTAAGTGCATTCAGCATTCAGCTAGGAGGAATTCGAATTGTATAAATCGCAGCTCCATGATGTCATTATCGCCAGAACAGAGATCGGGCACTGCGAGGTATCTACAATCTGTATGCTGCAGTTTTGCTTCATATGGTATTTGAATTTTGACCTGATTGTTTCTAGAACAGCACGGATCCTCAGGATAAGGAGTAGAGAGTGGTCTATCAAGACAAAGAAAACATGGAAAAAAAAAGAAAAAAGATCAAGACCAATGTGGTATGGTATACACGCAACATAATGAATCCCAGTTTTGACCAACGCCTTCCCACTCGCTGAATGCATAACACAGTGTAAATGAATCCTGAAACGAAGTAATCAAGCATCGGAAAAATGGATGCTGCCTTCCCGAATGCCTGTGCAAAGGCC